TAATACTATTTTAAATTAATTTCAGTTATTGCCGAAACAATTGGAAACAAGAAAGAAAGATCATAAGTTACTGTTCTTAGTTTTAAAAGCTCTGTTTCTTCTAAATCGAGTTTGCATCAACAAGATGATGACGACTGCGATAATGGAGGGAAATGCAGTCTTGCAAATTGAGGTTCGTTCTCTTAATACAATAACTTTGCGAGGGTGTAAAAGTCTTTTCAATCGAAAAACTTACTGGCCAAATCATTATATTCAGTTTTTTTTTTTGTCACAATCATTATATTCAGTTATGTAGGGAAATTTTGGACATGAATCATAAACGGAATAAGCATGCATACATTTTTTTGTTAATGTAAATACTACTTAAAGCTTCGTAAATATCAAAAATCTTCAGAGTGTGAATGGTACACGTGACAGAGTAATAGGGTGGGAAAGAGAAAATAAAAAGTGAGTGAAAGAAAATATATTTCCAGCGATAATATTCTTCCCTAATGTATTATTGGGTGGGAAACTTCCCTCCAACTATTGCCTTTACTTCACTTTTTTAGCTGAATTGAGCTGAAACTTTATGCAGCTGAAATTTTTTCTCTATTAAGACCAAACATTCACACCTTTAGATAATTTTGTAAATGTTTAAAATAATTCTAAAAGAACCCTAAATAGCGAAAGAATTCGAGAAACGACAAGCATAATATTTGTCAATTTTCAAAAACTTCTACCCGATATTAAAAAAAAAAAAAAAGAGAGAGATGAAAGTATCGAAACAACATCTCAGTATTTCATAGAAGACCTTCTTATTACCTGCAATACCAGAATCCAAAATTTATAATTTAGTCATTTAATTGATCAAGAATCACTAGTAGCAAAAGTTTCTACATCAGTGTTCTGGAAGGAAAAACGTGTTAACACAAAGCAAACAAATCCGGGGAGAAGAATTGCATATCAACCAAAGCATATTGACTTCTAACTTTGTCCCTAAACTCAAGTTCTATGTCTATGAATAAAAATGATTTTAAGCAAGAGGATACAGAAAAGTACCAATTCATCAGTAGCAGTGAACGACACTTTAGACTTCTTCTTCTTCTTCCTTTATGTGCCCTGAGCCTAAACACACAAAAAACAGATCAAACACTTTGTAGATCAAGAGTAAAAACGGGATCAAAAGCCTATGTCTTTGTCTAAATAACTAAAATCATATGCCTATGTATAACTATGGTTTAAAGCAAAGGATAGAGAAGAGAGGGTACCTCCGGTTGATGAGTGGACTCCACATTAGACCCCTTCTGCTTCTTATCAGTGCCGTCAATAGGATCCTGAACAAACAAAAACAGATCATCAGACTTTTATGCAGATCAAGAGTAAAAAATGGATGAAGAATAAAGGAGGCAAACCTCCAAATAAGTAAGCAGGGATATCCTTCTTCTTCTTTTTTTGTTGAAGAACCCTAAACAGATATCCTTCTTCTTTTTTAACATGGTGCACAACAAGTTCATTAACCGATCTAAAATAAAGTGGAAGTGTTAGAATCCCGCATCTGAATATGAATGAGTCATCATATTCATTGTCGATTGGTTTTGTAGTCACAAATTCAAAAAAAAAAAACATTGAAAATCATTTTGGGGTACAACTTTTGTAGATATACCTCGTCTGTCATTGTCCTCTGGTTTTCATCAACCTATGATAAAATCTCTTTATTTATTAAAAAAAAGTAGTGGATAAGAGAGTATTTTTACTTAAAAAGATGGTTAGCTTCGATAGACTTTACATACATTTTAACACGTAATTACTAACAACTACTATTGCTTTATAACATCTATCTCTCTCGTTTTCTTGATTTCGACTAATTTGCTTGACCGTAAGTTCTTGAAAGATCAATCCCACTCTAAATTTTATAGTGGTTGAGTATAAGATATGTGTTGTAGAC